AAGAGACAGTGAGTTCAAAACAATGAGCAAATTTAGTGTCATTCTCACATGCAGGTTTATTGAGATTAATTAATTCACAGAATTTTTGCTTGGGGGAAAGAGTATTTTTTAAGGCAGCAATAAAACTCACAGTCCCTTTAGAGTGGGTATACTTCTTCTTAAACTGTCCACTGCTACAGCCCAAGAATAAGACATTCTAGGTTAGAACAAATAGGGGGAAAGAAAAAAAAAATCGGGCTTTTAAAATGTTCTTAAATCTAAGAACATTATCGATGAGGCAGGAATAATATTGCTGCACTTCATATTTTCCTAGCAAAGCACTTAAGTTTTAGGAACATAATAAAGCCTCAATACAGATTACAAAATCATAAATAATGGGCTTATATAATAGTTTTGATGCAAAGTATATGATCTTAGGCAGGTTTTTTGAACTTTCCAACTAATTTTTTTTTCACTAATTTTTCCACTAATAACTTTCTCTTAAGAATGCTATAAGCATTAAATGAGATTACATAATACAACAAGCTTGACACACAGCAGGCAAATAAATTTTTACTTTCTTTCTGCCTGATCATCACAGAATCTTTAAAAATAAGTTCTAACAGCTGTGGTAGTTACAGTGCATTCAACCGTATTGGAAGCTCACCAAATGCTGCCCTTGTCTGAATGAAGATATCAGGTGAGGCATCAATAAACACAAAAAGAAGCTGTATCAGATGCCACCCCTATGGGTCTCCACTAATCCCCCCCCCCAAGTGTATCAGCTAATCCCAGCTTTTCTCCTTTTATAAGTTATTTTTTAGTAAGTACAAAGTATAAAGCATTGCTAGTAAAAGCTCTCACAGCAGTTAACTACATATTTAAAATATAGAAACAGAATAAGCCACTAAATGGCTTGCCTGGCAGGAGCATCAACTCACAAAAACATTTTACTTCATTTATCCACTTAATTTAATGGATTTTCTCCAATCACTTAAAGTAGTTCTCTGTCATGTCTTTGGTAATACAGTAATGATAAATTATATCACTAATCAGAGTTACATCTTCTCTCCTCTGTCACACAATAGTACCTATTATTCATCTCCATATTGCTTCAAACTTTTCATAGATAACAAAAGTCTTACCAGGTTAAAATAAATTTTACATTTTACTATCTTTTAATTTCCTTTAAATATTCTATTTCTTTGAAAAATCAACTTTACTCTTAACACTAAAGTTGGCTAGGATCAGCTAGCTAGTTTAAGCTACTAAGTCTGTCACAGATAAAACTTTACAAAAAAATTTTCAGCCAACAATTTAAGTCTAAATTATATTTAAGTTACACAAAATAGATTTGAGCAATAATGAAGTGCATACTACAATGTCACACTCCTAATAAGGAACTATATTATGTTTTGCTAATAAGTGTTACAACCCCAAGCTGTCAACACTTCTGATGTGTCACACTACCAAAGGAACATCACCACCCGTGAACATTCCCACCAAAACTATCTAGTCTGAGTCAGGCATGGCAGCACACACCTTAAATCCCAACCCTTAAAAAACTGAAGTAGGAGGATTTTGAGTTCAAAGCCAGCCTGGGCTATGAAGTGAAACCTTGTCTCAAGAAAAAAGAAGAAAAGCCTAATTTTATAAGGCACTGAAAAGGAGTCATACAAACCTAAAGGAAGGGACATTCTGCAAACCAAATGGCTTAGACTACTGAGAAATATTGGGGTAATAAATGCTAAAAGAAGATTGGGATTAAGGCATTATTCTTAAAGTCATACTGGCCCAA